TGATGGTTATTCTTATCATTTCACAACCTGAACAGTATAGCACAGTTTAACAATCCTTAAGGACCAGTAGTAAGTGTATCAACATTATATTACATTAGAACCATATTAGGGGAGAAGTAGTGCAATTACAATCCTCTCTTCTGTAGCTGATCATGGGGTTGTAGCTGGTATTTAGAACTACCTTCTTCCACTACCCATTCTGTATTCCCTTGGCCTTCAGCAAGCACCTCAGCAGGTCTTGGTTCTTTTCCTGGTGGAGTGACCCATACCTTCATTCCTGAAGGCTCTGGGCCATTTCTCACTGTGCCTATATTAGGTTGTTGTAGTTTCCCATTGATTTTAATAACAGGGCATGGTAATACTAAGAGGCACCCTAAAGGATCTCCCGCACTCCACATATATTCTTTCTTTCCTCTATTGTGGAGTAGTAGTCCAATTTCCCCTTGATAATCCCGGTCAATTACCCCTGACAACACTGTGACTCCCTTTTCAGCTTGTTTCCTCAGAGGCATGAGGAGACCAAAATGACCAGGTGGAAATCCTAGCTTCCAGTTCAGTGGTATCATTGTTGTGCTTCCTGGTGCAAGCCTTCTCCCCTCTGGAACTAAGAAGTCTAAGCCAGCAGAACATAAGGTTGTGGGGACAGGAAGCAGAAATTTTGCTAATGGGTCAGTAGGAGTAATGGTGAGTGGTACCATCCCTACTTCCACCCCTTGATTCCTGGACCCATGAATCCTGGCTATGGGAGACACAGTGCCATATAGTGGGCGCTGATTCAAAGCATACACAGCCTCTTGAAGTACCTTACCCCAGCCCTGCAAGCTACTGCCACCAAGCTGGCACCTTAACTGTGTCTTCAAAAGACCATTCCACTTTTCTATCAATCCAGCTGCTTCTGCGTGGTAAGGAACACGATAAGACCAGTGAATACCATGAGCATGAGCCCATTGCTTTACTTCTTTGGCTACAAAATGTGTTCCTTGGTCAGAGGCAATGCTATGTGGAATTCCATGACGGTGGATAAGGCATTCTGTAAGTCCACGGATGGTAGTTTTGGCAGAAGCAGTACGTGCAGCAAAGGCAAATCCATATCCAGAACACGTGTCTATGCCAGTGAGGACAAAACGCAGTCCCTTCCATGATGGAAGCGGTCCAATACAATCAACCTGCCACCAGATCGCAGGTTGATCACCACAGGGTACGGTGCCATACCGGGGACTCAGTGTTGGCCTCTGCTGCTGGCATGTCGGGCATTCAGCAGTGGCTGTAGCCAGATCAGCCTTGGTGAGTGGGAGGCCATGTTGCCGAGCCCATGCATAACCTCCATCCCTGCCACCATGGCCACTCTGTTCATGAGCCCATCGGGCAATGACAGGGGCAGCTGAAGAAGGAGGTTGGCCACTATCCACAGACCGGGTCATCTGATCTACTCGAGATGAGTAGGAGACTACTCATCTAGTCTCCTTCTGCCGATGTCACCTTTTGGTGAGCATTTACATGGGAAACAAATATTTTTACATCCTCTGCCCACATGGAGAGGTCAACCCACATACCTCTTCCCCAAATATCTTTGTCACCAATTTTCCAGTTATGTTCTTTCCATGTGCCTGACCATCCAGCCAGACCATTCGCTACGGCCCATGAATCAGTATATAGTTGCACATCTGGCCATTTCTCCTGCCAGGCAAAATGTATTGCCAAGTGCACTGCCCGAAGTTCTGCCCACTGTGATGATTTCCCTTCACCACTGTCCTTCAGGGATGTCCCAGAGAGGGGCTGTAATGCTGCAGCTGTCCACTTGCGGGTGGTGCCTGCATAGCGTGCAGAGCCATCCGTAAACCAGGCCCTAGCCTTCTCTTCCTCTGACAGCTGATCATATGGCACCCACAAAGTCTAAACATGTCTACTCTTTGGGCCTACACAGAAAAAGTGTGTGTTTTATGGTTTGTATCTAAATGTCCCCCCAAAGCCTCATGGGGTCATAGGTGGGGCTTTTGGAAGGTGGCTGGACTGGGGTGTGTGATGCTGGGATCTAGGATTCATGGTGTGGTGCTAGGATTAGGGCTGCCCCACCCTGGGTGTGAATGCTACCCACCCTAAGGGTAGGGAACCTGGATAGGATACAAGGGACAAAAAGACTCACTGCTTATCACTTGTAGCTTGCTGTCTGCTGCCTGCCATGAATTGTTTCTCCTCTGTGATGCCCCCTGCCATGCCACCCTGCCTTGGAGCCAGCCGATTATGGACTAAAATCTCTACAAACTGTGAGCCAAGTAAACCTTTCCTCCTTTAACTTTGGGTGTTGGGTATTTTGTCTCAACAATAAGAAAAGTAACTAAGATGGTATGCCAATCCTTGTTTTAAGCCAGTACATTTTGGGGTAGTGTGTTATGCAACAGTAGATAACCCAAACATCCCCTATACAGCAGAAGAGGCACCAGGCTCTTGCTTGAAATATAATTAATTCCTCTAATTTCATGTGGACATGTTTGAGACCTGTGAAAGAACTTATCTAGAACAACATCTGTTTTCACATGAATAACAGCATCATTTTTGCAAATAGAATATGTTAATAATGCTGGACACAATATCCACTTTCTTGATACAAGGTACTTTTTGAATTTAATAACCAGATAAAATCCACTATGGCTCTTTTCCACCCTCAAAATGTTTCATTTAAAAATTATTCATGCTGAAGTAATTTCAACTTGATGCCAGAAATGAGCCCCAGCAGCACATGAAAGTCTTTCCTAGTATAATTCACCACAGAAAGCAGCCTCCAAGTATTACTGCTACATTTTCACAACTTTTTCCTGATAGTTGGTCCTTATCTTAAAGAAAGAAAAGTAAAATATTAGCTTGTCTTTAGCCTTCAAAAATATGAGCCATGTTTTCTGACTTTTACAAGGTATTTTTAAAAACTAATTTTAGGGATTGGCAGATCTACTATGTAATCCTCACTTGCTGAAAAGTACGTGAATAGACTTCCATATGAGCTTGGGAAATATGAATAAATATAATGTGTAAAACTCTGATATTTATCTGAGTATTGTAGAAACTTACTATCTATTCTTTTTTGCTTAAGTGGACAGTTAACATCGATTAAATGCTATTATTTCTTCAACAGACTATGCCTTTCCTACATGCCTTTATTTAATGCACATATCCAATATTTTAAAGTATACTTTTATTGTCTCTGAAACAGAATTGTAGAATTTTAGAGTTGGAAGAGACCTTGGAGATTATCTGGTTCAGATTCCTACTTTTCAGAAAAGAAAATTATTTCACTTCCTTACATATACACCTTAATCCCAAAGGACTAACAACTAACACCTTATGTCATTTTTCACATTAAAAACTAATAGAGTCTAAATACTTTTTTATATAAACTTGACCTTACCTGATAGGCTCAGACACTATTTATTTATCTATTTATTTTTGAAATGAGGTCTCCAGCGTGTTGCCCAGTCTGGTCTCGAACTCATAAGCTTACATGATCCTCCCTCCTCAGTCTCCCAAGTAGCTGGGAATTACTGGTGTGCCACTGTGGCCAGCATTTTAAACACTTCTGAGTGGAATACGAAAAGCAATAGTGTGTATCAGCCAAATTAATTCACCACTTTTAACAGTAATTTAATGACGATGTGGAGGATATTTACAGATTACAAGAAATTTGGTTCTAAGTCTTAAAAAGTCAGCAATAAAATTCAGGGGGTTTTAAAATAAGAATAAAGAGTGAATTTGTCAGTAGCCCTGTGTAATGGGCGGAATTGTGTTCCCACCACCACCAAATTCATATGTTGGAGTTCTAACCTCCAGTGCCTCCAAAGGTTAGTGTGTTTGGATACAGTCTTTCAAGAGGTCATTAAAATGAGATTGGTATAGTGGCCCCAGTATAACTAGTGTCCTTATAAAAAGATGAGACACACCAAGAGGCATGACCATATGAAGACATATGGAGCACGTGGCTTGTACATAAAGCCTGGGAGAAACATCTCAGAAGATACCAATGCTGCTGACACCTTGATCTCCAACTCCAAGCCTTCAGAATTACAAGAAGATAAACTTACCTTGATCAAGCCACACAGTTAGAGATACTTCATTATGGTAGCCCAGCAAACCTCTGAACCTTGTAAATATGTGGCACTCAGAACTGAAAATAATAATGCCAGTATTGCCGGGTCAAATGACATGATTGTAATCTTCACTGTGGTGAATACCATAGTTCTGTAGACTTAACGTAAGATGTGGTAACCCATGGGTAGCTCTGACTGTTCTCAGGAGGACCCAGCGGTGCACTCCAAGCTACCTGGAGGGCTGGGGCAAGGAGGATCACAAGTTGGAAGCCAACCTGTGCAACATAGCAAAACCCTATTTCAAAATAAAAAATTAAAAGGGCCTGAGATATAGCTCCAGTACCAAATGGGTGGTGCAAATCTTAATTTTACTTAAATCTCTAAAACAAAATGGGGTGACACACCTAACACATGACAACACTTCTTGAAAGATAAGCCCTTCAATGCCACAGCTAATTCAGTTTCTTTTCCTCTCCTTTACAAATGCCCTAAACTCACTCCTTTAATCAATGTTTATTGGCTTTTGCTTTTATCAGTAATTCTTCTCATCTTTGAGACCAGTCTTTTTTCCAACTCTCCAGCATTTCCAAGGTGTTAACTACAGCTTTTTCCTCTTACCCAATCTACCAATCTTTTAATGAGGACCAGGAATTGACCTTGCCGAGAATTTTTCTTGGCCAAACCTGGGAGAGAAGAAGCTTTGAAAAGCCAAACATTAATTTTTTTTCAGTTAAAAAAGAGCATCAAAATTTTTTGGAAAGCAATTTCATGAGATTGCCAATATTAGGTATATAGTAATTTAAAATGTTTCAGTGTCTATGTGTTAAGTTAAATCATCTCCATCTTCCACTTCTTACAAAAAAACATAAATGCAAAACTTACAGTGGTATTACTGATCATTTTTATCTTTTGGTCCAATGTTCCAAAATCCCATGATCTTTCTTTCTCTCATCTAACATATTAAATATTATTTCCAGTTGTGTGAATTTGATAAGCTGGAACCACCGGCTGAGTATGAGCTGGCAGTCTAGAGCGAGTGATTTCACAAAGCTAACCGTGATACTGAAATGTATTAATAGGTCTCTGACATCCAAGAGCTAGGAAAGTATCCCTCTGCTAAGTTTAGAACTGGCCACACCCTTCAAACACATGTCAGTTTTGGACACTGGATTGTAACAGACATGTGAAATGGCACAGAGGATTTAAGAGCAAATTAACAAAAATGAAATGAAATGTGATTAGAGTAGTTGGGGTTATGAAAGCCAGAGAAGAAACCTTAGGTTTTTAGGAAGGCTCTCTGTGGAAAGTCTGCTCTGTTCACCTACTGTTCTTTGGCCTCTTGGGGAGACAACATAGAAGAAGAGGATGGAGCCTTTGGAAAACTAGAAGTAACGTAAAGTTCTAACAATAGATGACTGTTTGATTAAATTAGGATGCCTCTGTATAACAAACACTGAGGCAGGAGATTGGAGCCAAGCTATAACAGCGATTCTGACAAAAAGTGAAAATACGCACACCATTTGATCCAGTCACTTCGCCTCTGTAGTATAGCTTGCAGTTAATCTTGCACAAGTCCAGGAAGATACGACATAAGTGCAATGCCGTTAGAAGCGGGAAATACCCCAGTGTCCATTCACTAGTATTGGCTGACCGATAACGTGAAATTGTGGGCAGCTATTTATATCCCTGCACACACGCATTCTGACTCATAGACTTGGGAAGATGTCTTAGATATAGTGCTAGGAACAAAGAAATTTTAGAGCATTGTGCATAATCTCATTTGTGAAAAAATATATTACATATGTAAATACGGCAACATATTATGCTGTTGGTGAGGCCTGTATTACCTAAATACAAGAATGGAGGATTCTTCTTTAGTGAAATTTATTTGTTTAAAGAAGTACTAGCAATTAGATTTAGGGGTCCTAATTCTTCTAACTCAGTAAGTTTTACTCCAGCTCATAAAGCCTCTAATTCAACAACTTTAAAATCCTTGAAACAAAAAAGAATTAACTAAAATAAATTTGCATGATAACAAACAACCATGGAAAAACTCCATAGAAGACTTGAAAGATAAAGTTCCAATTTTTTTTTTTTTTTCTAGTTCTGGGGATTGAAGCCGTACTAAGCAGGTATTCTACCACTGAGCTACATCCTCAGCCCTTTTAAATTTTGAGGTAGTCTCACTAAGCCCTCCAGGTTGGTCTCAAGCTTGCAATCCTCCTGCCTCAGCCTCCCACATAGGTGGGATTGCTGGCATATGGTGGGATTACTGGCATGCCATATCCAGCTCAAAGATCAAATATTATCTCGAGAAATTAATACACAAAGACAACATATGGAAAAAGTTAAAGAAAGAGAAGATAATATTCTCAAGAGACATAATATCTAAATAATAAAAATTCTGAAAATAAAAATCCAAAACAAAACAGAAGAAGGAATCACAGAGAAAACACATTTTCTTGGAACTATAGGATACAAGTTTCAAAGCTGAAAGAGTAGGCCAAAGATACAGCTTAGCAGCATAGCGCCTGCCTGGCAAGCACAAGGTTCTGAGTTTGATTCCCAGTACCAAAAACAAAACAAAACAAAGCAAGCTGAAAGAGCACAAATAATATAAATGATGAGAAAACTGAGTAAAAAGAAAAGACCCAACACATATCATTCTAAGCATAAAGAATCTTTAAAAAACAAAAAGCAAAATCCACGCACAACAAACAGCATATACAGTTTTAAGAGTCAGATGGCGCAGTGTCACCAGCAATCCTGGAAGGTACAGTAGGGTAAAGCCTTCCAAATTCTGAGGGAAAATTATTTGCGATCTAAACTTCTATACATGGCCACATACTAATCAAGTAAGGGAAGAATAGGAGAGTTCAGTTATTAGGCAAGAGGAGCTTTGTCTCTGTCCTTTAAAATTTCAGAAACTGGGTCTGCTGAAATAATCTGGCAATACATAGGTTAACAGGAGAAAAGGCGTGCAGCTTTATTTATGTGCACTAACATAGGCTCAGACAAGCGCCAGATGATTGAAACTTAAATACCATTACAAACTATGGAAAGAAAAGGGGACCTGGGATTTTCTAGGGGTGTAGAGTAGTGATTTCTCAGGGCAGTGAATGAGCCAAAAGAGCAGACAGTAGCCCGGGACAAAGATTTTTGGGCTCTCAGAGTGGCGTCAATTCCAGTCTTCCTTCCTGTGAATCATCCTCCCTGTTAGGCGAGATTATAAGGATAGCGTCTTACTTGCCTCATAGCTGAGAAACAATATCTGACACCAACAGGCTAGAGGAGGAAGGTTTATTTAGCTCACAGTCTGTAGAAGCGTTAGTCCATAATTGGCTGGCTCCAAGGCAGGGCGGCATGGCAGAGGGGCATCGCAGAGGAGAAGCTGTGGAGGAGGAGGCATGTGGCTGGGAAGCAGAAAGAGTCAAGCTAAGGCCCTTCAGGCTCTGGCCTCAGAGACCCCACTCTTCCAACCAGACATCTCCTCCTAACAGCAAGTCAGATATGATGTCCCATACTCCAGTCACAATTTGAAGCCCCCTCCCATGAGCACCTGAGGTTTGGGGAGACATCTGAACCATAACAGGTGGGATCAAAATAATTGGCTTGCTTCTGGGAGACCTTTCCTCAGTCATGTAAGGGAACATCAGAGAGAGCTCCTTCATCCTCTGGAAGAGGCAAAAGAGCAAGGAAAGATCAGAGACCTTAGTTCCGAGAATACGGTTTCAGTTCCAAGTACTCAACACAGACATTCCTCATTTAACGATCGAGGTCCATTCCTATGACCAGGCTGCGAAATGAATTGGTCACTAAATAAGGCACTGTGTATAGTGTGTACATTACAATATTCAGAACAAAGAAATGGTCAAAGGAAACTCCAACCAGATGACTTCGCTTTTCTTGGAATAACTCCTACATGCAGGATTGTAATGTACAGCAGAAGTAACACTACAGCACTGTCCTGTAGAAGAGGCCACCAGGAAGCCACACTGCCGCTTCTGCGCCTGTGTCCTGAGTCTGCATGCAGGTTGTGAGTCCGGACATTGTACATGGGCAGGTCGCTAAGGAAGATCTGTGTGTTAAAGCATCACACTTGGCGTGTTATTTTTCTGAGCCCCACCACAGCCACTCATGAACATAAGAAAATTACTTCCCATAGAGAGTTTTATCGAAGTTCTTCAAATAAGTGCTTCATCAATGAAGAAGCAAAGCAAGAAAAAAGTATTGGAGCTCGGGAAGCAAGAAATCTAACACAGAACAGTGGAGTGAGATCGGAATAAAAGTTCCACTCGGGTAGAGTAGGCCTGCAGAGGACGCCAGAAGGGGAGTGTTCAGAGCAGAACCACAAGTGCAAAGCAAAACGGAGCAAAGCCAGGGCACTGAGGCGCTTGGGTTGTACTGACTTCAATTTCATAGTCTTGCTGAAAGTTTGGGATCAATTCTATAAAAACTAAGCCAGTATGAAAGCAAAGGAATTACTTATGGT